AGATCAGCTGATGTCTGGTCCATGTCTTGTGGGAGTCCAGGGTGTGACTGTGTTAGTTGTGATAACATATTACTTAACTATGGCTTACAGTCATCCACATGAGGGTCTTTGGAGTGGCAAGAAGCCAATCAACCTCCAAAAGCAGTCCCTGTTATCTTAACTGCTTCTGTGGGATCATTGAAGACACCTGTCACAGGAGTGGCAGAGAGTGTAGAGAAAGGATGAAGACAAAGTGAGAGTTGTGACAAGCCTTTATCTCAGGAAGTAACCTTAGCTACCAGTCTTAATTCACATCTCTCCAACCTCCAGTCCTGCCTGCATTGGAATAACATCTCCCCAGTCCCTCCCAGTTTTACAGGAGAAAGTGTCTGTCTGCCTATCTCAAATCAACGTTCTCACCTGGGCTCATCCACTCATCTGTCTTTTGGGCTTAATTTATCAGTTTCTTCTCTAGGGTATATTGGACAAGGTGATGCATTATCATCATTTGTGCATTAAAATGCTTTTTCCTCAAACAGAGCAAGCTGTTCAACATTTCAGAACCTCAGCTCTCAACTCTGTAATGTGAGGATGATAATCTTTATACATTGAGATTATTTACAGAAAGTATAAACAACATGCTGACAATCACCTGAGAAGGGATTTAGAAAAGTATAAGCACTTATATATTTTTTTCTTTGCTGCTTCTACTTTTAGTTAGTGCAGAGCGTATAAACTTTCTCCATCATCTCATCCTAAAAATAACCCTCCCTGCACCATACTTTTTTTATTTTTTTACTACCACTCAGGATTTTGTAGCTTTTTATAGCCAAGTTTCTCTTCATTTTCCTCTAATTGCTCTAGTGAATTTTGGTGCAGTGTTTTGAATTCAAATCACTTATATATAAAAGGATTTAGGTGTAGCCATCTGAAATTCATTCTCTTTTAAATAAACTTTCCTTATTAATTTAATCACTTAACTAAATAATAGAGAGATTTAGTGATGGGGTATTTCTTGTGTTTTGTTTTCAATCTCCATGTATCCGGGTTGTTTTATGTTAGAGGTGAAAAACAAGGAAATCTTAGTTTACTTTTAACCTACAAAGTTTTCATTGCTCTGTGGTTAGGATGTAACCTTTTTAACTTCTTAGAAATAAGATTTTTTTTCCTTCCAACCACCAATAGGGTCAATATTTTTCTTCAATAGTATATGAGAATGTGCAGAAAAGTTTATTTTCTTGCTAGGGTTCAGTTTTAAATAACAGCACAAAAACGTCATCTCCATTGTCGATGATCTCTCTCTCTCTAGTCTTTCTTAAATGAGTAATGGTAATATCTCAATTATTTTAGTAAAATACATTTCCAATAACTTCTACTAAAAGGATGTTTTCATGGGAGATATCTTTCAGTATTTTCAGAAAAGCAAACATGAGAAGGAATAAAGTAAAATGTGTTCTTTCTTTGGCACCTTAGTTCACCCTCCCCCCACTCACGCATTTCCTGTTCACCCCCCCCCAAATAGTGTGTTTATATGGGGTGGGGATATTAATATCTTACAGGCTGGGGCACCATTCTGTGCTGATCGTTGGGCATTTTTAAAGATGCAATACTTGAATTAACACACCTGTTAATTGATCAACACCCAAATGGCCTTCAGTCTTGCTGTGGCAAACAAGACTGTGTCTAATAACATTTATATTTAAAATGCATAGACCTTGCCAAATTACCCACCAAAGAAATGGCACCTGTTGACAACGCCACCCAAAACATAGGAGCACCTTTTTCCTAGCCCATAACAAAGCGGGAGATAATCAAACACTATGGACCTGGCCAAACTTGCTATATCAAACTTGGCACATCCTTGTAATTCGTATTGATCATCACTATCATTCATGACTATGTTGAGTTCAAGCGTGTTTAAGAGCCATATTCAGTTTTGTTTATCTGTTCCAGTCCTTTGTTCAGTTTAGTAAATTGAACTATTGATCATTTTTATCAGCTGGAAGAGTTTCTTCCATAATGTAATCTTTGTCCTGTGTTTCAAATTTATTTATACCAGTTCACTTCTTGAATTGAGTTGAATGAATTGTCTTATTTGTCTCATTTCTACAGATTAAGACATTCTATTCCATCTGCAAATTATTATGTGTGAAGTAGGAATTATACACAAACAAATGTTTTTGAATGTAATGTATCTTCTATCTTAGATCCTAGGAAACCTTCTCTCATGGAGGATATGGTTTAGCTTTGACATCAACAGAGTAAATAAACTTTTCCCTCCAGAATTTTATGGTCTATTTTGGCTTTTTATAAGAACTTTAATGAGCTTCTAACCCTAATAAAAATATCAGCAGGACTTCTGGGATGTTATCATACTGATTACTTTAAGGAGAATTGATATTTTGAAAATATACACTCCGTCTTTCCCCATCAAGGTTTTTATCTATCAGGGACATTTTAAAGCTTTCAAAATGGGCACTTCACTTTCCTAAATTCTACACATTTTTGTCTCTGTAGTTGCTGCAGTTAATCTGATCTCTTATGTTTTCTGACTGGTTATTAGAATTAGGGCAGGATTTTATTTTACTTAGGGTGTCAAATTTGTTACCAACCCAATCTAATGATGACTTGTGATTTATAATAGTTTTTAAAGTGATTTCCTTGGCTCTATTAGGTAATACAGACCCACCTACAAATGTTGATATTTTACCTTTCTCTGCCACTTTTTATACTTCTCATTTTTCACCCAATTACTTTGCTATGGAATACATTAAATAATTATGGAGAGAATACAAAACTGAGTAGAAATGCTGATGACTGACATCTTCATCTGGATCTTTGTGAAGTCAGCCTGTTGACTGTTTTTGCAAACATTTTATTGGAACATGTTTCTCCTTTTGTTTACATATTGTCGATGGCCATGTTCACACTGGAGCCAAGTTAAGTAGTTGCAACAGACTGACCCACAAAGGCTAACATAGCTGGCTCTTTTCAGAAAGTTTGCTGATCTCTGCTGTGTTTTTAAAATATCAGTGTTTTACCACTGAGCATATTTCCTTATTAGTAGAAAATTTTAATTTTTGAAGGCTATCTAGTTGGAGTTTGCAAAGTGTTTCTCTTCTACTATGCATGTGTATGGCCGTGACTCTCTGTCTTAAGTAGAAACTGTCCTGTGTGTGTTTTAGGGGTTTTGTTTGTTTTTGTGTGTGTGTGTTTTTTCCCAGCTACTTTTTCTTAGCCCTAATTCTCACCACTTCCACCTGTCCATTTATGCAGCTTTTTTAAATGGAGGATTATACATAGTCTGTTTCTCAATACAAAGCTCCACTTTCATGCAACAAAATATTGGTAAATGGCTACAGTGCAAAGAGGTGCTACCGATGCTTTAGTCTTGAGGTCATTCGTGCATACGAAACAACACAAAGAAATCTGGTTTTAGTAAAAAACATGGCATTTATTGTTTATGGACATATTGTGGCTTCTGTTTCACATTGGGAGAGGGGAAGTGATTATTATTGACTTATAAGTGTTTTAATCATGTGAATAGCAAACAGGGTAACATAAAAAGACAATTCTTTTCCTCAGAGGGTTGGTAAGTTCATAGAAATCTTTTCTCTTTTGACAAAATTAATTAAGAATTCCAAAGACTGGATTAGATTGGCCTCAAATGCCTCGTGTCCTGACTTTCAGACATTCCAGAGTTATCAAAATATAGAAATATCTTAGCTTCACCCACACACCCACAAATCAAACAAGCAAATCCTAAATCTAAACGTGACTCTGAGTAATTGCTTATATGTCATACTATTCTGCTTAGGAAGTCTCATTCCTGCCATGTAATTATTAGAGCAGATGTCACTCAGGATTTCAGTTCGTGTTACTCCCCTGAAAATTCACAAAAGCCCTCCAAAATGAGGTCTGATTCCCACCTTCCAGAGGAGCAAGTGCCCCAGTTTCAGGGAGGTTTGGTTACTTGCCCCTGAGGACGTATGATAAAAGTTATGGGAGCAGGAGTTGAGCTTGGAGCTATCTTTCTGATTTGGGAGCCCTTGCGATCACAGAAGTATACACCCGCCCACCTTAAAATCAAATTACCTATGTAGTATATTTTTCCCCAGCTTTATTGAGGTAAGATTGACAAATAAAAATTATATATTAAAAAAACAAAATATATATTTGCATATGTTTACACATATTTGTTTATATTTGCATACATAATATATTTACATAAAATTTGTATGTATACAATGTGACATTTTGATATATGTATATATTGTAATGTGATCACCACCATCATCCATCACCTCACATAGTTACCATTTTTGTGTGTTTGGTGAGAAAATTTTATATCTACTCTCAGCAAATTTTAAGTATACAACATGGTAATGTTAACCGTCATCACCATGATGTGTGGCTATATCCATCTTATAATTAAACTTTATACTCTTTGACCAATATCTCCTCCTTTCCCCCACAGCTCCTGGCAGCCACCAATCTTCTTTATCTATGAGTTTGATTTTCTTAGATTCCACCTCGGTGGACTCTGAACCTTCAGACTTGGCACCAGGAACACACAAATCCAGCTGCTGTCTGCCACAATACCATCATTAGCAAAGCATTGAAACAAAACACTGTCTGGGTGGGAAGAAAAAATGGAAGACCACAAGGGGGGGAAACTATTTGTTTCTCTAGGCAGTTGGTCAGTCCAGGACCATTGTCTATGAAGTGCTACCTCTACACTATGAGCATGGCATGTTACCGAAGTATACTCACAAAAATTTTGAATTTGTTCCAGGAACCAGGGACACAGGCAGGAAAAGAGCCCACAGCTTACAGTCTAATGACAAGATAGACAGATATAGTGTCAAGAGATGTTTAGTCTATGAAGAATTCTTACATATGGATTGGGCTTCTCTTGGTATGTTTCACAAAAAGCCTAGAGAAATGCTGCTCCATCTATTAAGTTGATTGAGGTTGGTTGGATGAACATGATCATTAAAATGTGATTCCCTTTTGTCGTTCTTCCCACAGGTCCCATTTGTTCCCTACTACCCAAAACTACTCATCCATCCACACCTGAGCCTCCAGCCTTGCATTAAGATGGAAGAAGCCAACTTACCCTCCTTTTCTAGCTATGGACTGTGGTGGTGTTTCAAGCAGCTGGGTGAAGAAGAGTTTCAGGCATTCAAGGACTTACTAAAGGAAAATGCCTCAGAACTAGCCATGTGCTCTTTTCCATGGGTTGAAGTGGATAAGGCCAGTGTGGAACACTTGGCCTACCTCTTGCATGAGCATTGTAGAATTCCCCTTGTCTGGAAGATATCCACGACCATCTTTGAACAGATGAACCTGCCTATGCTCTCTCAGAAGGCAAGGGATGAAATGGAAAGTGAGTAAGACATGGGGCAGATCCAAGGGTAGGAGAGAAGCTGGGGGACCTCAAGTTACTATGGAAATGGGAGGGAGGACACCATTGTTTTCTCGTTGGGTCCGCCCCTATAGCATGAGTCTAAACCCTGAAAATTGACTCATGGACCATTCCTCCCCAGCTGGAAATTAGCGCAGTATCTAGCCTGTGGAACAAAGAAGGAGAAGAAGTAGGCACAAGACCCTCTACCTGGACAGAATTTGGTTGACGTTCATTAACAGGATTTAGAGCTATAACTACTAAGCTTGAGTCTGGAGCTGCCACTGGCTACATGTGTGACTTTGGGCAAGACCCCTTCTGCTCTGACTCTTGTATTCTACATCTTGCAACAGTACCTGTGAAGCTCACATGTGCTGTTGTGAAGGTTTGGTAATGTATAGAAAATGGTTAACAAAGCTGAGTCCATTTTTTGAAAATGCCGTGGTAGCTGTACAGTGGATGTCTCCCTGACTTTTGCCCCAGGCTGAGGGACTAAGGTTCAAGGAACTCTTGTAGGGACTGACTTTACACAGGATGTTGATGCCATATTATAGTGATGTACTTAGATCAAAGGGTGGATTATCTTAGGGTGTTTGGGAGAAAAATAGTAGGGAAAAAGTAAGTTTTCCTTAACTGAAGGAATTCTTTTCTTCAACCATGAACAGTAAACTTAGAAAAGAGTCCCACATGTGAGCAGTCAAACTGGCCCTAAAGACCACAGATGGTCCATGCCTGCATGCGACTTAGCATATGTGGCTACAGAGGACTTTAAGAGAAGCTGTCCCTTCTGGGCTTCAAAGAAGCCCTGTGTGGAATACATGTTGGTATTCATAGGAAACGAGGATTGTAAAAATTAAGATAATAGCTAATGTTTATTGAGTTGGTTCTACTCCAGGTTAGGCCTTGTGTTGACATGTGCTGCCCTGCCATTGCATCTCAAACCCACCCAACGAATAAGTTCCCCATGGCAGAAGCTAAAATAGAGGTTCTACCAAGTCGCACAACTTTACAAGTTCATGAGCTAACATGCAACAAATATGAGGCTCATTATTTAACATTCATCTAGCATATCTATAAATCATCATGTGTCACATGCCAGAGTTATTTATAGCTTTCAGTGCAGTAAGGAAGAGGGATAAATGGGCATTTTTTTAATGGATGGTGTAGAAAAATATGAGAGGTCTCCACTTCAGATTAGAGGGAAGTGAAGACTAGAGTCAATTTCTAGAAGAAGTAAGGTTCAGGCTGAGAGAAAAATGAAGAAAAGGAGTTATCCAAGCTAACTTAACATGGTAGAGAAGCATATTTTGAACAAGAGATGCAGCATTATGAAGCCTTTAACCACGGAAGAGCCCAGATAGACCACAGAGAATTGGAAGGACTGTGGAAGGAGGTGACAATAGAGAGATGAACACAGCATCTTGAAAACAATTTTAATAGCAAAGCATAAGCAATTGCAGTTTTAAAGGAGTGGAGGGAAATAATCAAATTTGCAGTTCAGCATTGCTCCAGAATGGGCCAGACAGAGTCATGAATAGATGTGGAGAGACCAGTTGGGAGGCTGTGCTAGTACCCCATGGGAGAGATGGAGGTGGCTTGGACTGGAGTGACCATGGCAGTTAGAGAAAGAAGTAGAAATAAAAATGGAAGCTGTTTCACAAGCACACACACAGCAGTTTTTGAGGGTTTCATGCAAAAAGAGAATATGGTATCAAGGATAATATACAAGTTTCTGCCATAAGAAACTGGGTGGATAGGTCTCCATGGCCTCATCCCAGGAAATGCTGAAAGAGGTGTTTTGTAGCACATAGATCAGGGAAGACCAATGGGAGACCTCATGAGTTGAAGACACCTCTATTTGGGTAACCCACAGACATCTAATGAGTAGTTAACTCATTTGAAGTTCAAAGACTCTTGAATATAAATTCTTAATAACCATAACATGCTGCCTCATTATGTGACTTACTCAAGGCCATGCAGCAAAAAAAGGACTGAAATGTACATTTCCAAGTTCAAGATCAGAGCACTCTTTACTGTACATCTCTGTTATGTCTCTCTGATGGCAGCCCTTAGATCTGACTCCATCATCTCCATTACAGGCTAGTCGTGGGACAAACCATGATATCCTGGGGCTTGTCTTAGTTCCCCTCAGTAATTTGGGCAGGGAGTGCTCTTGTCCCTGGTTTGAATAATTGCTATGACTTTATCAAGGCTGTTCTCTCATCTACTCTGTGTTGTAGAATGTTTTATGGTCAAAATACCAGAAGATTCTACACCAATGAAGATTGACCATGGAACAAGCATGGAAGAAGTGCCAGGTCAGTGTGAGGGTGGTGGAGAAATGGACTGAAACCATGACTGCTGATTATCTAATGTTCTTTCAAGTCTAACATCCTATCATTAGCTGACTGGATAGGTTCTGAAGGTCTGTAATCATTGTCTCTCTTAGTCTAAGTCCAAGAGAGTTCTGTGGTCTTAAGTCTTTATGACAATCCATTGGGTTCCCATCTTCAGTTTGGGCAACTTTATGATCCTACCAAGACAAGCCCCTCGTAATCTGCTTTGAAGACTTTTGTAGAGAGAACCAGATAGCACAAAACCAGATGTGACACAATTTCCCAAACATGAGCATTGACAACATGCCAGGCACTGCTCTGTGTGCTTGTGATGCATCCATAGATGTTCATGAAGCTTACACTTCAGTAGGGAAGAAGGGAGATGAGCCAACAAATAAGATCTAACCAGTGAAGCCAGAACCCAGAAGGAGAGAGGCAGGCTTCTGTAGATGGCAGGCAATCATCACTATTACCCACACTACCACTTGTATCTGGTGAATCTTCCAGACATTAGTACTGATCATGAAACCAACCTCATTTTAGTGCAGCATTGTTCAGGCTCTGGATAGGAAACAAAGTTAATGTTCAAGTCAGAGGAATTGATATGAGTCAGAGTTCCAGAATTCCAGAGGTTATAAATTGTTCCAAGTTTAATGGACATCTAAGCTTACCAGGGGAAGTCCTCTTGGCTATACATTTTCCCAGTGATAAAATTGTGTCTTATTACTAAGTGACAGTTTAAGATTAATTAAGAGTAATTAAGATTACTAAGTGAAAGTTTAAGATTACTAAGTGACAGTTTAGTGGTGGTATGACATAGAGACAATGACAGACTAATCTTGGCAGTAGGACCAAATCAAAATTGACAGAAGCTGGAGTTTTATTGTCAGCCACTTCTGGAAATCCCTCTAAATTATTATTGTATCTGAGAACCACCACTCACCAAGACCATATGGGTTCAGCACTGTACCAAGTGCTTTATCTCATAATTCTCCAAATTCTCAGACTACCTATGTGGCAGTAACTGTCATTCCAGTTGTCCAATAATGTAACTGATACCCACAGGCTAAATGGCCAAAACTCTCCTTGTATAGACATATCCAATCTCACTTTAAGCACCACTTTAGTTGTGTGCTGTTTTGGTATGTCGCATTTCATTTCCACTCATCTCAAAGATAATTGTCTAATTTGCTTCATGATTTCTTCTTTGATCCTTTGATGATTTATGGTCACCTTGTTTAATTTCCACATATTTCTGAATTTCCAAATTTCCTTTTGCTATTGACTTCTAATTTTACTCTGTCATGCTAAGAGAGCATATGCTGTTTGATTTCCACCCTTTTAAATTGGGAACATGTTTTATGGGCTGACAGGTGAACTTTAGAAGAACATGTTTCTGCTATTATCCAGTAGAGTGTTTTTCTATATATCTGCCTCCACCGTTTTCTATCTCTGTCAATGGCTGAGACTGTTCCTTACATATGGCAAGGTTATTCCCCACATCATCTAAGACAAATATGTACATAGTGGCACTAGGAAACTATTTCCTAATAAGTACACATGATGGCTATTCTCAATAAGTGTGAGCTATTACATCATAGAGGCTATGTGATGTTTTACCAAATCCCCTCATGCATTCTTCAGAGCAACATTACAACACAGGAACTATGGTTTTATAGATGAACAAACAGAAGGATGTGTGGGTTCAGTATGTTAACTAACACCTCACAATTGGTAAGTGACAGAATCTACATTTGAATCATGTGTCTGACTCCAGACCCTTAGTTCTGAACCACTAGCTTTGACCCTTCATTTTAATGACCTGCCAGGCAGTCTCCAAGGATAAAGAGCAGAAATGAGACCAGAAACCATACCTTCTGGTTTTGAACCTAGTGCTCATTTTATGTACACTCTATCCCTCCAGCTGAGCCCTTGGTTGCCATGTGCCAAACAGGTCAGAAAATGAACCTGGCATTGCAGAGCTTATCTTAGCTATTCTATGGGTCTGTGCCATCTCTGATTTGGATGATTTACCTAAATGTGTGGGAGTTTATCCTTATTTCCTCTTTTTTTGCAGAAATGTCACAAGCTATGGAACAAGATGGCACCACAGCAGCAGAGACAAAAGATCAAGGTAAATAAATGATTTATTCCTATATTTTATTACCACATTTAAATTATGACATTGGGGGAGGGGCTGTGTATGGAGTGTAGATGGCTGGGGAGTCCACTGTCCCTTTCTTCATCCTCGTTTGTCTCTGTTACGTCAGTCCCTTCCTTAAAAGTTCCTGACATCATCACCACAGACAGAGTCATAGTATGTTCACTGTGATTATCGGCAGCCCATTTTTATGAAGATAAATTCCAAATTCCCAAGTTCATGGGGGAGACCGTGGGCATTAAGGACAAGCTTGTTTGACAGGAGCTAAATAGAGATAAGAGGTCAAGTGCTTGGTTCAAAATGACTTAGCTAGTGGTGTTTTGTTGTTGTTGCTGTTGTTGTTGTTGTTATAATTTTTTGCCTTCATACTGTCGACAGTCCAGGGTTATATGTTAATTAAAACAGACAATATAAAATGAAGACAAGATCACAGGTGTGAAATGACAGTTGACCAGTCAAGGAAGTGACGGCAGGCTTCTCTGAGGAAATGTCACTTGAGGCTTTTTTTAATTATGATATAATTCATATACCAAAGAGCTCACCCTTTTAAAGTGGACAATTCAATGGTTTTGAGTACATTCATAAGGTTGTGTAACTACCACCAGTATCTGATTCCAGGAGGTTTCCCCAAGAAGAAACTCTGGACCCACAAGCATTCACTCCCATTTCCTTCCCCAAGTCCTAATCTATTTTATGTCCCTATGAATTTGCCTACTCTGGACATTTCATATAAATGGACTCATACAGTAGATGGCCTTTCGTGATTGGCTTCCTTTATTTAGTATAATGTTTTCCAAGTTCATACATGTTGTAGCACATATAGGCTTAATTTATTTTTAGCACTGAATAATATTCTGTCCTATGGACAGACCACATTTTCTTTATCCATTCATCAAACAATGGGCATTGGGGTGCTTTCCATTTTTCTGGCTATTATGAATAATGCTGCTATTAATGTTCATATACAAGGAAGTGGTCATGGAAAGAAGTGATTGGACTTATGAGATATTTAATAGAATTTAGGGTTTGGAGTTTCAGAATAAAAAGCTGCATGAATGGCTCCCACCTTCTACTGAGACAACTGGTGGATGGTGATGCCAAGAATCAATGATTTAAATCTCGAATTATGGAATTGCTTCAAGCTAGGCATTTTTTCCTACCTGTACAACATAGCATGATGGCACAGCATGAGTTACTTAGTCATTTGTTGGACAAATATTTGAAAACTTGATGGCTGTCAGTACTGTCCATTTTTTTAGTACTGATGTTGATGACACTTCTAGAGTACTTCCTAGGGCCAGGCACTCACTGTTTTCACATTTTATAACTGGCATTCTAAACCAGTCTCATAAAGAATATCCCCATTTTACAGATGAACAAACTACCGTAGATGGTTGATGTGAGGCTAAAATTAGATTTATGTACAAAACAATGAGCCAAATACCTGTTCCAAGATAAGTTCACAACTACCTTTTTTCTAATTATCAGTTACAGAAAACTTAGGAGGAGGAAGTTTTGGGCTGGAGGTCAAAGATGAAATGAGTTTTTGATGCATTGAATGTGAGGTCTCCATGACAATTGAAGGTAGTGAGTTAGACACCAGAACCTAGAATTTTGGAAACAAACCAGCACCAGAGAGAGAGGTTTGGAGCTCTTAAGCATAGACATGATACAAAATAAAGAAAGGTAAGATTTAGAACTTTTGTGTAGAGATCTTATATAGAGCCAGTAATTATCTTGTATACACATACAGGACTCCTACTATCTTTTTAAAAGATCATTGTGATGCCAGAAAATGTAAGGACCCAGAATTAGGTTTCTATTTTTCATGTTACTGAGTACCTATTGGATGTCCAAGACTGTCACAGAGGCTGGAGGTATGGAGATAAAATAATAAGGTTATCATGAACCTTGTATTGTGAGCCAGGGGCTAGACAATAATTAAAGCATTGTAGTTTATGACAAACACTGGGATAAAAATAAAACAGGTTAATGTGAAAGAATTATGGTTTGGAAAGACATATGCACCTCTATGTTCACAGCAGCGTTATTTACAATAGCCAAGGTATGGAAGCAACCTAAGTGTCCATCAAAAGACAATAAAGAAGTGGTACATATGTACAATGGAATATTACTCAGCCATAAAAAGAAGGAAGTCTTGCCATTAGTGACAACATGGATGGACCTAGAGGGCATTATGCTGAGTGAAATAAGTCAGACAGAGAAAGACAAACACCATGTGATCTCATTTATTTGTGAAATCTAAAGAACAAAATAAGTGAACAAAACAGAAACAGACTCATGATACAGAAAACAAACTGATGGTTGCCAGATGGGAGGGGGTTGGGGGCTGGGTAAAAAGGGAAGGGATGAAGTACAAATACTTTAAAATAGTTACAAAATAGTCATGGGGATATGATGTACAGCAGAGGGCTGTGCATGCCTTTCTGTGTCTGTCACATGGACATGCATCTCCATAGCAGCCTGGACCTACCAGGACAGAATTGGAGATGCAAGCCCACCCTGCAGGTGTAGAACTTGGGGCCATGCATACATGTACTCCTCTCCCTCACGCTCCTCCACCTTTCAGAGGCCTCACATGGTATAGGTTATTCATTGAGAAAACACTTGTGTCCACAGGGTGCCAAGTACTGGGATAAATACCAAAGATACCGCAATAAATTTAAAAGTCTAATGTAGCATCTACTGGGGAGAGATACACCATAAGCAAATAAAAATGCAATGTGTCAGGTATGAAGTTCTGAAAAGAGGTATTGGGTTACGGGACAAAAGGAGTCATTTTGTAGAAAGTCCACAAACTTTTGAGGATGGGGCCTTTAAATGGAGGAAGGAGGGGTAGGGTTTGTTGCCAGCATGTTGCTGGGAAGAGACAAAACTCTCATGTCTGTAGACTGTCTGAAATCCAGACTTCTCCAGACTTTGCTTCCTGTTTTTCTTCTCCTCGCTCCTGTCCAACTTAGGCCAAGAAGGTGACAAGTGGCACTACAAAGGTCATGTGATGACAAGATTCGCCTTGAAGTCAGACACATGCCGTGATTTTGAAAGCTTTGCCTCTGACTGTCAGCAAATGCAAGTGTTGTCAGGTGCTTTTAACCCAGACCAGTGGGGCTTCCGGCCCCATACTGTGGTTTTACATGGAGAGTCAGGGCTTGGGAAGTCGGCGCTGGCCAGGAGGGTCCTCCTGCACTGGGCTCGTGGGGAGCTGTACTCCGGCATGTTCTCCTACGCCTTCTTTCTCCATGCCAGAGAGATACAGTCAAGGAGGGAGAGCACTTTCATGGAGTTAATTTCTGGGGAGTGGCCAGAATCCCAGGTTCCCATGATGGAGATCACAGCCCAACCAGAAAGGCTCTTGTTTGTGGTTGATGGCTTTGATGACCTGGATGTTGCCTTCAAGGATGATGATATGAACCTCTGCGATGACTGGGCTGAGAAGCAGCCCGTGGCAGTCCTGATGCACAGTCTGCTGAAGAAGGTGCTGCTCCCCAGGTCCTCTTTGATAATCACAGTTAGAGACGTGGGTGTGGAGAAGCTCCAGGCCATGGTCACGTCTCCCCGCTACCTCTTAGCTGAAGGCATGTCGGTAGAAGGGAGGGCTCAGCTGTTTCTCAAGCACACAAAGAGTGAGCACCAACAACTACAAGTCTTGCACTCAGTGGCACACAACCATCCACTCTTTGACAAATGCCAGGGCTCTGTCATCTTGTCACTTATCTGCCAGGCCCTCCAGATCCAAGAGGCATCAGGAAAGAGTCTGCCATGCACCTGCCAAGTCCTCACAGGCTTGTACGTCACCTTTGTGGTCCATCAGCTCACCCCTCAGGATGCATTCGGCCGTTGTCTCAGCCCGGAAGAAAGAGTTGTCTTGAAGGGCTTGTGCCAGATGGCCACAGAGGGGGTATGGGGCACAAAGTTTGTGTTCTACAACGACGACCTGGGTGTTCATGGCCTGACAGACTCGAAGCTCTCCACTCTGTTTCACATGAACATCCTTCACCAAGATGGCCACAATGACAGCTGCTACACGTTCCTCCATGTCAGCCTCCAAGAGTTTTGTGCTGCCTTGTACTACATTCTAGAAGGGTTGGAGAGCGACTGGGACCCCCACCCTCTGCTCACGGAGAATATTAGGACTTTAATGGAGCTCAAACAGATTGGCATCAATGTCCACTTACTGCAGATGAAGCGTTTCTTGTTTGGCCTGATGAACAAAGAGGTGACAAGGGCACTGGGTGACCTGCTTGGGTGTCCTGTGCCCCTGGTGGTGAAGCGGGTACTTCTGCACTGGGTCTGTCTGCTGGGCCAGCGGGCCAACACCGCTGCCCCACAAGACTTCCTGGACTCCTTCTACTGTCTTTTCGAGACTCAAGATGAAGAGTTTGTCCGCTTGGCATTGAATGGCTTCCAAGAAGTATGGCTTTCAGTTAACCGGCGAATGGACTTGCTCGTGTCTTCCTATTGTCTCCAGCACTGCCACTGTTTGCGGAGAATTAGGATGGATGTCCAAGAGATCTTCTCAGAAGATGAGCCAACTGAGGCATGGCCTGTGATTCCACAAGGGTGAGTCCCCCACTTTGCAGTTCTTTGCCTTTCGTCTTTAGATGTTGGTGTTTTCATACAATGAAATAGTCACTTCAGTTAAGATAATTAGCATATCTGCCACCTCATATGGCTACCACTTTCTTGTGTGTGTGCATGTGTATGTACATGTGTGTGACATTTTCTTTTATCCATTCACGGAAATTTAGGTTGTTTCCGTATCTTGGCTATTGCAAATAACAGAGTGCAAATATCTCTCAGATCCTGATTTAAATTCCTTTGTATAAGTGGGATCACTGAGTTGTATGGTAGTGAATTGTTTGAGGAAACTCCATACTGTTTTCCATACTGGCCACACCATTTTGCATTTGAGGGGGAACAAGAATTTAAGCAGAAATCCGTTTTTAGAGCCAGCAACTACAAGTCTTCCTAGCATATCCCCTGGGGTACCAAATACTCAGTACGAAGGGTGGATATGAAAGTGCTTGCTCGTGCAAAGCACAAAGTGATGTCACTAAGCTGGCCTCTAAGCCTCTAAAGCCATCCCTGTCTCTTCCCAATAGATTCTGGTCCCTCAACTCTGACATTCTTGCACTGATGCTTGTGTTAATATCCACTTTGTGGAAACAAATGTTAGTCTTCTTCTCCAATATAGGATGCAGTTCAAGGTCCTGGTTGACAACTGGTGGGAAAATCTTTGCTTCATGCTCGGCACCCACCCAAGCCTACAAGAGCTGGATCTAAGTGGCAGCATTCTGAATGAATGGGCCATGAAGACCTTGTGCATCAAACTGAGACAGCCAACCTGTAAAATACAGAACCTGATGTAAGCCTGCCCTGCTCTGGTACCTGCCCTTTCATGGCCATGTCACAGCTCTCCTCTCCTACCTGCTGAGAGAAGACCAATCTGTATAATGTATTCAGAGGGGATGAGTACTGTGGGAGGTACAGGGACCAAGTTCCCAAAAGCATAGGATGGGTGGGGCTCATTCAGGCAAGTGGTAGAGCCTGAGGCGATGACAAGATCAAAGTGCATGATTTACAGGAGGCTTTAAATCAGTGCTGAGTGCTTTTAGGCTAATTCATAGGTAACAAATACTTGAACATGTAATAAGTTCCTGGATCTGTTGTAGACTCCAGGGACTCACCAGGCCCCTGGAGTAGCAAACAAAGTACTAATTCTGCTTCAGACAAAGGTTCTATTCTTTGCTCTTCTCTTCAAGACCAAGCAAAGCACAGGTGACAACCAAGGCTAGAGCAAGTCATGTTCTTGGTTGCAAAAGTCTTCCCCTTCTTGCCTTTCCTCTCTGTTCTCTCAGTACTTTCCTTAAAATGGGCTGTGCCTAGGAGCTTGGTAATCTCAGAATAATAAATAATGCCTCTTTCACCTAAAGTCCTATACCAAACTCCTCTGTCAGCAGTTAGATTCATATTTTCCACTTGGTCTCTGTTTTAAATTCTTGTTATACCCTATAATTTGCTTTAATCCTCATGTTATCACTGTATTTGTAACACAACAGGAATACATGACAATGGCAAAGAGATTTAGGAATTACAAATGGTATTAAGTCCTTTGATACCACTTCAACTTCCTACTTCCCTAACTACTTTCATATCTCATGCATTTTATATGCAATTATATGTATATATTGGTGTAAGAATAATTTTAATCCAAATGGTATCACATTATATGTATTGTTTTGACATTTGACTTTTTTCTTCAACTTGAACTGGACTTTATATCTGTGTGTAGTTCTATTCTCAATGGACTATATGTATTTCATTCTTTGGTGGAGGTAGGATTAATTTTTAATTTATTTCATTTATATTTGACATTCAATATTATATTAGTTTCAGGTGAACAGCATAGTGGTTAGACATTGATATAACTTGTGAAGCGATCACCCTAATTAGTCCAGTCCCCACATGACACCATGTATAGTTACTAAAATATTATTGACTATATTCCCTGTGCTGTAATTACATCCCATGACTATTTTGTAACTGCCAATTTGTACTTCTGAATCCCCTCCCCTTTTTCACCCACCCTTACAACCCCTTCCCATCTGGCAACCATCAGATATTCTCTGTATCTGTGAGTCTGTTTCTGTTTTGTTTGTTCATTTATTGTATTTCACTCTTAAGCCTAGTTCTCTTGTTTGACTCTTTGTTGAATGCATCCCCCCACCAGATGAAACTCTGAGAGCATAGAATATTAGCATTGTTTAATACTCCATTCCCAGTGCCTGGCACATCATAGGTGCTTAAGTATTTGATGCTTTAAAATTAAATAAATGCAAATAATGAGAAAGAGGGAGTTGGAATGGGAAAAGTGTGAAAAGAAAAAATTACGCTATGACTATCGCCAGTGCCTAATGCATATTTTCTTGTTTGTCTTCTGTAGATTTAAAAGGGTACAGATTACCTTTGGTCTCCATTATCTCTGGAACACTATTGTCACCAACTGTAATGTTAAATACCTGAGCTTAGAAGGCACTCACCTGAAAGATGAAGATATAGGGATAGCATATGAAGCACTAAGACACCCTAGATGTTTGTTGCAGTCTTTGAGGTAAGTCCTGGGTATGGTTTTCATTTTTCATTTCTTTGATTTCAGGTTTCTTCTTGTTATTTTTAATCTCTATTTTGAAATAATAATGCACAGTAAGTTTCAAAAATGTTAGAGAGTTGGGAGGATGACAGTCTGAAGATGGATGGTGATGATGGTCACACAAGAGTGTATATGTACTTATTGCCACTAAACTGTCATTTTATCACATGAAATGTGGATATGTGTAGATTCCTGAGACCACACAGCAAACAAGATACAGAAGTGCCATCACCCTTGTGTTAGCCTTTAGAGCCACACTCCTCCTTACCCCACCAACCCTCATCCCTGACAACAATTCATGTTTTCATCTCTAATTTTTGTCATTTGGCATCACAGAGAGGTGTGATTTTGTCATACTCTTTAGGTGGAATCATACAGTATGTCACCACCTGAGATTGGCTTTTTTTTTTTCAGTCAGCAGATGCCCTTGAGATCTATCAAGGCCATTTTGTGTGTTCCTTTTTGTTGCTGAATGTTATTGAGTGATGTAATCATTCTTCTATCCAAGGACATTTTGGTCATTTCCACTTTGGGGCTGTTACCACAGTTTTGTAAGTCCTGTGCATGTGTTTTGTCGATTCAATTGGCTTGGTCTGAAGGCACTACTTTGGGATGCCCAGGGTAACCTGAGACACAGAAGCATGGGCCCTGTCTTGGGCTTTGCTCGCAGACATACAGTAAGTGCGAGAGACTGATTTGCTTTGTGCCCTGTGTGTGTTCTCTAACTCTTAAGCTTCACTTTAAAGAATGTAGCCAAGGAAGTCAGCTGAATCATGAAAGTCTTTGAAGGATGGAGGTGCAGAGGTGTTTACCCAATGCCAAGTGATTTTACAATCGTCTCTGAGAACAAAGAGGAAGCAGCTGCTGGTTCTCTCTGGGTGCTTTGCCAGTAGGGTAACGAGCCTGGGTGTAGTGAGACGCTACTAGCATAATGGCAGATTGATATGTCACACCTTGGAGATGTGCTTTGTGGTAGAATTGGGTAGGAGGGTCATGGGGTAGACAACATTCAATTCTCGTAAGTATTGCCAGTTTTCTCAGGAGTTTGCACCTTTTAGCAAATGTTCAAGTGCTTCCTGTGTAGGTGCTGAAGACACAGCAGGGAGCCAGCCAAGTTAGTTAGACACCTTCCCTCATGGCAGTTATGACCTAGGGAAGAGATGGACAATAAATAATTACAAATGATTACTCGGCGGTGAGAAAGAAGGGCATCCTGCCATTTGCAACAACATAGGTGGCCCTTGATGGCATCGTGCCGAGTGAGATAAGCCAGACAGAGAGAGACAAATACTGTATGATTTCACTTATACATGGACTCTGAAAAGGCCAAATTTGTAAAAACAGTCAAATGAGGGTTACTGGGACAATAGGAGAGATAGTTAAGGTCACAAACTTGCAACTCGTACACAAATAGGTCCTGGAGATCTAACATACAATGTAGTGATTATAGGCTTCAATATTGTATCATAAACTTCAAACTTGCTGAAAGACTACATCTTTTTTTTGTACTCAACTATGTTTTAATTTACATAAATTGCACAGAAATATTTGCATACAGCTGAATCTATACAAATATGTATTAACGGGATTTCTCTTTGCGAAGGCTTCTATATTCTGTAAGCAAAAAGAATGTAAAAGTTTTGTATTAAGATTAACCCACTCTACTAACTAAAAATAATTTAAAAGCAGTAAGGTACCCATTGGAAAGCAACTAAAGAGAGGTTGAGAAGGACTTCTTGGAGGAAGGGGTTTCCTGGCCTCTCTTTGCAAAGGAAATCACTGCTTGTTTTCCTAAGAGACTGAATCTTAATGATTCCCACCACACACACACACACAAAAACCCCTTATGTGACAGTGATAGAGGAGCTAACTATTGCTGCAATTGCAATCATATCACAATATCTAAATAAATCCACATGTTTATCCTTAAACTTACACAATGTTGTATGTTAGATATATTTCAATTAAAAATAAAGAAGTGCACATATAAATGTAGGAAATGTTTGCTGGTGATCATTGCTGTGAATGAAATAATGCTGGACAGAGCGGAGGTCTGTCCGCTCTGTAAGGTAGTAAGACTGGCTTACTTGGAAGAGGTAACATTCAGGGGACTTGAATGAAAAATAGAGCCACATAAAGACCTGGGGTTAAGGATGAGGAGGGATGATGCAAACAAAGGAATGGTGATGCTTAGAGCCCAAGGCCAGAGCAAGCAGTGTCCAGGAACCAGCAGAAAGGCCAGAATGGCTGACATATGGTGAGTGAGGGGACTGGGTTGCCTCTGGAGGACAGATAGGCATGAGTTTTACATTGTGTCTGCAGGTTGGATCACTGTGGACTAACTCACACCTGTTGTCTGGCAATTTCCAAAATCCTGGTTACATCCACCTGCCTGAAATCTCTCAGCCTCGTGGGAAACAAGGTGACAAACCAGGGCATCACACTTCTCTGTGATGCCTTGAAAGTCTCACAGTGCACCCTGAAGAAGCTGATGTGAGTTGCACTTTCTTTCACCAGAGTTATCTTGTCTTAACTGAGGTCGTCCAAGTAATCAGGGAGGGGCAGGGGACTTCAGTAAGAGTTTGATTCTAAAGTCATAGCAAGAGTTGAAAACCAAATAGCACAAATTACCCTTTTTAGAAGGTAATAGTCGAAGCAACAGTAGAAGACAACATATCTTCTCTCCATCAGTCTGTAAAAGGGTAAAAAACAAACAAACAAACAAACAAAAACACCTTTTTATCTACCCTCTTAGGTTTTGTGTCTGGGACCTGCAAATTAAACTGACAATAGACAATTTAACAGGAGAAAGGGCATACAAATTATATTGATGTTAATTTTTTTAAGGGCAGGAGGGCTTCAGAAAGGAAGTGAAAAACCCAAACACGCAATTAGACTTGGGATCTTTTATTCCATTTTAACAAAGGGTAATAAATTATGGAGAAGTGAGGAGATAAAGGAAAGGGAGTTTTGGCTTTTAGGGCTGAGAAACCATGAGAAGGTGACTAGGAAGTGTATGGGGGAATGAATGGTAGAAAACAGTTATATCAAGACTCATCTCCATCTCTAGTGATAAAGGAGATTGTCTTTTTCCTGATACAGAAACAGGGGGGACGAATGTTTGCTTTTAGGAAGATAGAGGGATGACAGAGAGCTCTTTCTGTGTCTGCTTTGTCTCAATTGCCATCAGTTCAAAATAATGCAAAGTGGCATATTTTGGGATAGCATATCCTGACCCCTTTCAAGTTCAACCCAACCAGCATTCCTTCCTTTATTGAAAAAAATCACCATCCACATTATGGAATGTTTGCTAAATGCAATACCCTGCTTTAAGCACTTTAGATGTGTCATTTCACTTAACTTTGTCACGACCCCATAAGAGGGTTACTATTTAACTCTTATTTTCAAGCACAACCACTTCTTAAGCTTTGAGAAACAGGTAGACTGTCTTGCTTATATCTAGGGGTCCTGATGTGTTAAATGTATGTACTTTAAATAGGAAGGTCACTCATTTCGGCAAAATCTCATTCCATAGTACATGTGGGGAACATAAATAGCCAGACAGTAGAATCACACTACTCATGCGTTCCCATTGTGGTCACCACCACATAACCACCCACAATGTTTAGAGTATCATTGTTGACACTGAGTTCACAAGTTCAATGCAGACACGGTGTGACAATGCAGTATATCTCTAAGGGCATGTCAGCTATTGGGGTGATGTTTCTTTCCCTTCCTTGCAAAGGAAAGGTGCAACTTTTAGACCTCATCATTTCCTTTTTGGGGCTTCTCCTTGCAGACTTGGGAACTGTGACCTCTCAGCTGCCAGCTGCCAGGATCTGGCCATGGCTCTCATTGGGAACCAGAGCTTGACACACTTGTACCTGTCAACCAACAGCCTGGGGAGTGAAGGCGTGAATCTGTTGTGTCGAGCCTTAAAACTTTTCAGCTGTGCTCTACAGAGGCTGATGTGAGTCCAACTCAATCCCCTGTGAGGACTTTGTAGCTTTGTGACAAATAGCATGTGCCTCTCTTGAAGAGCAAGGAGCGTGGAAATGGACAGGATGAAGGGACCTGCTGTGTGCTGTATCCTGTCCCTACTTATCACCTTATAGATTTCACAATTCCTTGAAAAATTCTATCTCTTCATTTGCATTTTCTTACAGTGGAAAGTTGCCATTCATCTAAATAGTCGATTCTCATTTGTAGCAGTTATGTTCTATAAAGTCACCGAGAACACTGAATTATTGACACTAATCCAGGGTCCCTGTTGCAGGGGGAAGAATAGAGGGTTAGGGGTCCTGTATCCTCTGGTAACAATATTTTTATCAAGGGGTCAATAGCTAACCTTATTTTGTGTGGTTCACATGTATTTTCTCCATATGGCACATTACAGATTTGTTGAGATTAACACACTGAACAGGACTTCAGCTCTACTTTTGAAGCAATGAAATCAACAACCAAAAAAAGCACAGAAGTGAAAAAAATGTGGTACTAACTGGACCACAGAAAGAACTGTTGTTTACAAAAGTATAAGAGCTGAAGTGAGTTCGACCTTAGCTGGTAATGTGTGCAATGGGTGACTCAAATTTTTTCCTGTGTGCCCATGAAGGACCATGAGCATTACAAGTATTGATTTAGGTGGTCACCAGTAAATTTTGGTGATCAGGCAAACTCACAAATACAGAATCCATGAATAATGGGGATCCACTGTATTTATGAAGTCCCTAACATTCTTAGCTGCTCATAATAACAGATAAAAGATGGGCGGGGTCCCTATTTTTATATAGCTTAAATTCCAGTAGGGGAGAGTTGGATAATAAGTAAATGAGGTTTTTAGATGGGGTTTTGGTGATGCACCGCTAGCAGCCACAAAAGCTGTGTGACACAACTCCAGGGAGATCAGGCACACAGCTGTTGGATGCTATGTCTCTGCTATTGTCCCACCAGGTGTCCACATCACCATTTTAACAGCTGCCTCCTCATATTGTCAGACTGCTCTCCTATTTTACATCTTTGGTTTGATGGTGAGAATGAAAGTTTTTTGTCACTCCTCTCCCCCTACTGTCAACTTGCTCCATTGGGATCACTTTGCTTTATCGTTTCATCTCTTTGACCAATTAGTCCACCAATAACTTCATGTGAGTGAAAAATAGACATGAGTTAATGGCAGGCCTACAGCTAGAAATTCTGCTAAAGAATAGAACTTTAATAAGTCTATCTTGTGACACATTCCAAGGTTCTCTGGTGACTAAGTGATGGGGTGATACTGAGTACAAGAAAAGATAATAGAATGATGACACCCCTCCCCAAAGATGTCCACATCCTCACCCCTGAAAGCTGTGATTATGTGACTTTACATGGCAAAAGAGACTTTAGATGTGATTAAAGATCTTGAGATGGGGAGATGATCCTAGATCACATGATCACATGGGTGGCCCAATGTCATCACAAGTGTCATTGTAAGGGAAAAAAGGAGGCAGGAGGGTCAGAGGAGGAGATGAGATGATAGAGGTCAGTGATGCAATTGCTGGCTGGTGACCAGAAACTAAGGAATGTGGGCAGCCAATAAAAGCTGGAAAAGACAAGGAAATAGTTCTCTCTTTGAGTCTGCAGAAGGAGATGGTCCTGCTAACAGCAAGTCTCTGGCCTCCAGAGCCGTACTAAAACACACGTGTTCTTGGGTACCACATTGGTGGGGATTTGTTACAGCAGCAACAGGGAACTAGTACATTGAGTATGAGGACAAATTAACAGGAGACAGACAGAGGATCTTGATCAGCATGCAGCACGGGCATTAGGCATTGCACCTAACACGTCGAGGTCATTCTGACACGTATGCCTGACAGTCTTCTTAAATACAAACATGGTCCTCTCCCAGAGGAGGGGCAAGCTGAGGCCAAGAGAAGTGGCTCATCCAGGGTCACATTGAGTCATGAGTGTGATCTTCCTCTTTCCCCTACATGCGTCCCACAGACTAAATGAATGCAATGTAGATGTCGCTGGCTGTGGCTTTCTTGCTCTTGCACTTACTGGCAACCAACATCTGACACATCTGAGCCTCAGCATGAACCCCTTGGGAGATAATGGGATGAACCTTCTGTGTGAGGTCATGGCAGAACCATCTTGTCACCTCCAGGACTTGGAGTAAGTTTCCCATGGTTGTTGGGGGTCATCTCTACCACAGTGGGGGTTGAGGTTCCCTGAAGGTCAGGAGATATGAGTAAGAGTACTGGAACCAAAAATTAGTTCTGGGGTCAACTGAACCTCATTTGGTCCAGTGGACACTCTGGGTAAGTTGGTATGTTGACATTACAAGTGTGACAAGGACAGAAATCATTCTGAACAGGAGCCCCATGGCAGGGTGTATGGAGGACTAGATCATCCTTGATCTCCAAAACCTGTTTACATCTCAAAACACATCCTCTTGCCCAAAGTTAATCTTCAGCTCCTCGTTCTGTGCTTGGAATGGAGACAGGAGGGACTGCTTATCTCTTAATCCTTTTTCTCTGGGTTCAATTTCTTCACCCCTTATTGGAATGTTTCTATTTAACAGAAATATTCTATCACTAAACAAACTGTAGAAAAATTGATATCTCAGTGAACAGAACTAAATCTCTAATCTCACAACCAAGCAATGATCACTGTTAATATTTTCGTAGATGTCTCCTGGTGGCATAAGTAGCATTTAATGTGTCCTAGCATTCTTACCACGTAGTGGGCACAGGGCTCTAAATATTGTGCACACCTAGTCTCAAGTGGTCCTCAGCCACCACACACTGGAGGTGGGGACTAGAACTCCCAAGGAACCAAAATTTTGCCTTTGATCTCGCATTTTGTCCTTGAAGACACAGTCATCCTCCCTTATCCATGGGGGATGCATCCCAAGACCCTCCAGTGGATGTTTGGAAACACAGATAGTACTGCACCCTATATAAACTGTATTTGCCTGTATGTACATCCCTATGATAAAGTTTAATTTATAAATTAAATACAGTGAGATGAATGACAATAATAATGGAATAATTATAACAATATTCTGTAAGAAAAGTTATGGGAATGTGGTCTCTCTCTCCCCTTCCCCCTCCCTCAAAATATCTTATTGTCCTGTACTCACCTTTTAAATGAAGCACCTTATGACTTCTCTTTGGCATTTCTACCAAATTGCCAGTCTCACTACCCTTCTGCTTTGTGGCCATTATTAAGTAAAATAAGGGTGACTTGAACATAAGCACTGATACCACAACAGTCCATCTGATAACCCAGACAGCTACTGAGTGACTAACCGGTAGGTAGCGATTACAGTTTGGAGGCAAAGGGATGATCCACGTCCTGGGTGTGAAAGTTCATCACGCTACTCAGAATTTTAAAATCATGAGTTATTTCCGGAATTTTCCATTTAACATTTTCAAACTGTGGTTGACTGCAAATGACTGAACCCACAGGTAAGGGGGGACCCCTGTATGCAGATTATAATAGTAAATGAAGTGTGGTACAGTATTTCATTTCATGGAATACTTTTTAAATCCCCTAAAGCTGGACACTTAGCTTGTGTACAGTGCTTCAGGTCATGTGTACCTTATCAATCTTTCTGTACTTAATAGAATTTTCTTATGATCAATTACAAGGATAGAATTTAATGAATCAAAAAGTAGGACCATTATGTGATTTTTCCCTTCCCAAAAATAAACAAAAGAAAGGGATTGATAGAGCTTATAATCCACAAAACTCTGACTGTCCCCCAAGTATGAATTCATCTATTTTCATGAAATTGGCATTTCAAACCCTCCTTCTGCATGGCATGGAAACTTAAGCTTAGTCATTGGGGATGCCATTTTTGGGGATTGTGTTTAAGTGCCAGGTTACCTGGCCCTCACCACCACCATTTATCCATGCTGGCACCAAAGACTTGGTCCTTCTCACCCAACTTTCAGGTACAAGCCCTCGCAGCTGGGTCCTTCCTCATTCTTGTCATGAATGGATCATGAAGACAGACTCTCTCATCCCCAATGGGGCCATTATGTCCTCAGCACACTAACCTGAAGATACGAGACTCTGAAGCTGTTTCCATCATCTCTACTCAAATGAAGTACCCAGTTGTTACTGCAGGGGCCATTTCCACTCACCCTCCCCCACTCGTCCTGGGAACAGAAGCACACGATGAATCTCCTTTTGGATTCCAAGCCGTACCCAGCATTTCAGTGACTTCTGTCATCCTTTCTCTCCCTCTCAGGGACCTCACCAACTTCCACTCACCCTTCTTTTTTTCTCTCTCTCTCCCCCTCCACCACGGAGAATCTTTTTCCTACCTCCAGGCGGGAAGCAAGTTCTTATGCGCTCATTTATTTTTCTAAAGTTACCTCCAGCCCCATCAAACACTTTCCCCACTCTCCACTGCCATCTGTCTCCTGAGCCAATGGACTCTGCACAGTCTCAGCCATTCATAGGGATGGGACAGAAAGGTGACCAGTTAGGAAGGAATAAAGTAAATCCCCACTAATGTTTCTGAATGTTATCCAACTGCAGCATTCTCCTCAAGAGATGTGGATGATCTCTCGCTGTGTCTGCAGGTTGGTGCAATGTCACCTCACTGCCGCCTGCTGCAAGAATGTGTCCTACATGATCACAAGAAGCAAACACCTCAGGAGCTTGGATCTTGCTGCCAACGCCCTGGGTGACAGTGGGATGGCAGAGCTGTGCGAGGGATTGAAGCAAAGGAAGAGTTCTCTGAGGAGGCTTGGGTAAGCTCCCAGGATCATCCCTTAGGGCTGGGCTCAGAGGAAGGGGCATCCAAGCATGACGTTGCTTAAACAGAGACAAAGTTCCAACTTTCCTGATTCCATTCAATTAGGCAGAATACAACATTGGCAGAGTAACAACCTGAGACATAAATTCCAACCAGGCTCCAATATATGGAATGAGTAAAATGGCAGGTGCTTGAGACTGTTGTTTGGAGGTAGTAAGCACTCAGTAAAAGTTTATAGGACAACTCGTGAGTGCTAGGCATGGTGCCAAGTGGTGGGGTACCAAGGTGAATAAATATGGGCATTGCAGAATATATAGTCTAGTGAGAAAGATGGACCGAAAAGCAAGTGATGACATTGGTGGTTCTCAAATGTTAGTGTCAGCATCAGAATCACCCAGGAGGCTTGTTAAAACAGGGCACTGGTGCCTTCGGTGGAATATCATTCAGCCATAAAAAAAAAATGAAGCCCTGACACATAACAGCATGGGCAAACCTTGAAGGCTGGCTGTGTGAAAGAAGACAAATATAAAAGATCACGTCTTATGATGCTATTTGCAGGAAATGTCCAGAATGGGCAAATCCATAGAGAAAGGAAGTAGTGTAATGGTTTTCCAGGGACTGGGGGGACTGCTGAATGGGTACAGATTTCTTTTTGGGGGGATGAAAATCTGTTGGAACTAGACAGAGGTGGTAGTTACACGACATTGTGAATTATCATAAAATGTGACCCATTTATTGAGCACCAGCCATCCATACTCTTTACTCTAGCATAAGAATTCCCAAATACACAAAATCTGCAATGATTAGGATATCTAAAACCTATATACCACCAGTTAGCATAAACAATCTATCTGGTACACTACTTCATAGCAAGTCATAGATTTTTGACAATCCTCCCCTAAATACCTCAGTGTGCATCTCTAAAGAGAAGAATATTACTACAGAACCATTATTACATGGAACAAGGCTCTTTGGTTTTCCACTGCTCTCAGGATAAAATCCTAAATCCTTAGTTATGACCTAAAATGTCCAGCCTCATCTGACACCACTGCCACTACTCACTCTGGCCATCTAGTTGACAGTCTGTGTCTCAGATATGCCCACTCCTTCCTTCCACAAGGACAGCAGACATGCAGTTTCCTAGGCATGCATCACTATTTTGGGCCCCCATTCACTGAGTTTCTCATCTTTTGAGTTTTAGGTGAAAAGTCCCTTTCTCAGCAAGTCTTTCTCCTTGCTTTGTTCTCTAATCAGAGGCTCTCTCAACCTTTCTTTTTCATTCTTTCCACAACTTATGAATTGTCCAGCAGCTCTCAATGTGACAACTGGCATCACCACCTGAGAACTCATTAGAAATGCAAATTTCCAGGTCTTCCTCAAAACTACTGAACCAGGAACTCTAGGGGTAGAGCCTGTTTTTTTGAACATTGAAGTGGAAGTCAAACAAGTTGAAGAAGGATCAGTCAAGATCATTGATCGTTGGCGTTATCTCTTGGGGGTCCTGGCCCTGCAGGTTGGAGGCATGTGACCTGACGTCTGATTGTTGTGAGGGCCTCTCCTTGGCTCTCTCCTGCAACCAGTGCCTGATCAGCTTAAACCTGATGCGAAACAATTTCAGTCCAGAAGGAATGATGAAGCTGTGTCCGGCCTTTGCTCATCCCAGGTCTAATCTACAGATTGTTGGGTAAGTCCCTGGCAATCATCAACTGAGACATAAACCTTTTTCCATTGCAGACATGCTAGTTGGCAGAAAAGCAGTTTATCACAGAAGGTGAGATCGTGGCTAAGCAACCAGATCCTTATTCAACCAATAATGCCTGCTATGTTCCAGGCACCGTGCTGGGTGCTGGGGACACAAGGATATGGGAGTCAGAGGCAAGGTGTCCATATATTGTGGGGTTTACTTTGTGGTGGGTTTGGGAGAGTAGAAAGACAACATACAAATAAAATGTTTAGCCTCAAAAAACTAAAAATAGAATTGCTATCTGGGCCAACAACTTCACTTCTGGGTACACACCCAAAAGAACTGAAAGCAGGATCTCAAAGAGATATTTGCACCTCCACGTTCACAGCAGCACTATTCATAACAGCCAAGAGGTGGAAGCAACCCAGGTGTTTGTTGACAGGTGAATGGATGAGTGAAATGTGTATCTACATACAATGGAATATTATTCAACCTTAGAAAGGAAGGAAATTGTGAAAGCTTGAGAACATTGTACTGAGTAAAATAAACCAGACACAAAAAGACAAATACTATATGATTCTTCTTATGTGAGGTCCCTAGAGTGGTTAAATTCATAGGGGTGGAGAAGAGAATGGTGGCTGCCAGGCGCCAGGAGGAGGGGGAATGGGGAGCTGTTGTTTATTGGGGACAGAGTTTCAGGCTGAAAAGATGAAAAAGTTCTGGAGATGGTAGTAGTGATGGTGGCACAACAGTGTGAATGTGCTTTACACTACTGAATTGCAACTGACAAATAGTTAAGATGGACAGCCTACTGAGGTTGGTTGTGATGATGTATTTATTTCAGTAGCTACCTTCCCAGTTGAGTAACTGCATTTTCCTGTATGGTCCAGCTCACAGATTCACACAGGGTCGAGTTTTGGCAGATGGGCGTGACCAGAAAGACCACAGAATGGTGGTAGCATGGGGTCTGAGGAAGAGATGGAAGGAGAAGGAGGGATTGGAAAGCATGGCTCAATGGATTTGGGGATCTTGATGCGTGAAAGGGAAATATTACAGCGATCACTTTATCAAATGAGCTAAAAAGTTGGGTTGAAAGAAGAGAGAGCATGTTTGTTTCAATGACTCATGATGCAGTATAGCCTTAGGCAAAAATCAGCTTGTGACTAAGGGACTTCATAGTTGAAGTAGCATGGATGAGTCAAACCTGACTTTTCCTAGTTGGCCTTCTGAGAGCCTGTGTCCTCATGTGTCTATTTGAATACCAGTTTCTCTCTCTTCTCCTAGAATATAAGATGTGTGAGGGTGGGGGTTTCACCTTGTTCATCACAGTCCCTCCAAACACTATAACAGGACCTGCTCAAAGTCAGTTCTTGGGAAGAAATCATAGATGGATGACTAATCACGTCTGCCTCATAGGTTTGCTGTGAGGGCACTTGCCCACAAAAGCTCAGTGTGGCACCTGACACACCCAAGAGTCCCTTTACATAGAGGGACTTTTATGTGGAATACACACAACCTGCCCTCAACAGTACAGGAAGGGGTTTCAGATCCTCGATGGGTTTTCCAGGAGTGTTGAGGAAGGAACAAGAGTAAGCAAATTTCCAGCATCACAACTTCCCTTTTTTCCTCCACAGGCTGTGGAAATGGCAGTATCCTGTTCAAATAAGAAAGCTACTGGAGCACGTGCAGCTAATCAAGCCGCATATTGTAATTGATGATGGTTGGTATTCTTTGGACGAAGATGACCGGTATTGGTGGAAAAACTGAAGATGAGCAACCCTCCCACCCACATCCACACTGACAGAAAAACTGTAAATGCTGTCTTACTGGGGAGAGCTGTGCCCGGGGTTCTTAGATGGAAAATGATCTCTCATTCTCACAATGCCCTCGCTGGTAGTGATCCTTAAGTGTCTAGTCTAATTTGGTTACTGCATTTGCCTCTGATGTAGGCTTGTGACCTTCAAGTCACGAAATCTCAGTCTCTATGAAATGTCTGTCCCACCTCAGAGCACACAGAGGGAAGCAAATAAACACTGAGCATTTGGAAAAGGTGTCAAGTGCCCTTCTTTGTCAGTGGGGATGTGATGTGATTCAAGAGCAGAGGTAGCAGGACTTAGGTCCTTAAAAGTTACCCCCAAATTTTGATAACACAACTCTGCTGGTGTTAAAAGTCACCTTTTTAAAAGCATATATCTGGACATCGAAGAATGATGTGACTAGTATTCAATATCTGATATATAAACAAATTTATTGGTTAGTGTAATAAAGGATAACTGGTCTATCACTGTCTCCCTGAACAGAGCAAACTGCTGTTCTTATGTACATAGAAATTTGGGGGAAACATGGAATTTAGGGATTAGTGTATCTTCAGAATGAGTTGACATGTAGTTACTCAGGTGAGACACTGGCACTCACAGGTGTGTTCATCAAAGTGGATCCTTCCTTACTGGCTGAATTTCAGAAGCTAGAGTTGAGTCATTCATTGGCTTGGAAAAGCATGCTGAGGCAAGCTGTCTTGGATCCAGTGAAAGGGTTTAAACCCATTTGGGCAGCTGCTTGTTACCATGGGTACAGAACAATCAGTCTCTTCCCAGGAGTGTGGGAAATTCTTGCGTTTTTACCAATATGTACTTTTTATGATTTCTTATATTCTCTAACCCATGATAATGATGATGATGGAAGGTAATACACAGGGAATACAGAGCCCTTGTGTGCCAGGCTTTGTTCTCCGCACTTACCTATAAATTATCTCATACAACCTTCATATTCAAGCATCATTTTTCAAACCTGGAAATATTTTAGGCTTGTTCTCCATCGGATCAAATTAGATGGTGATTGCTCTGCCTTGCCCCTGTATGTGGCCAATGAAAGATTTATGCCAGGTGTAGGAGAAACGTCAGCCCCATTGTCTACTGGGGCTTATGTTATTCACATTATCTTCAATCTGCAGTTTCTTTGCAGAAATACTTTTTAAACATGTTCCAGGAGAGTTAGTTCACATATCAGGCTGGCACATTAGATCCATGGGTTGTGAGTTGTGCGATGTGAATGACACACTGAATGGTATCACTGGCTCTCCTGGGACTCCAGCTTGCAGATGGCAGGTGGTGGAACTCTTCAGCCTCCATCATCGCTCATAATAAATGGCTCACACTAAGTCACATGTTTATATTATGAAAATATTGTTGTATTTTATTATATATCCTATTGGTTCTGTTTTTCTAGAAGACCCTGACTGATACAAGGAGTATAGTAAGAGCAGAACCTGAATATCAAGAGGGAGCTGAATATCAGGAAGGGTGTCAGGGCACAGGGACAGTAGGCGAAAAATCCTGAGGTTGGAGCAGGAATAGCAAGTGGCAGAGAGGGGTGTGGCCAGATTGATGAGAACAGGGGAGGCCAGGGCAAAGGCCTTGGGGGTTATTCTGAGCACACTGGGAAGTCACTGCAGGTTTTCTGTCAGCAAAACAATTGGGTCTGCATCCTCAGTGCCTCCCTCCCACAGGGACAAGGTCCTTTCACCTGGCAGCCAGAGCTGGCTTTGGAAAGGTGTGTCTAGGGTTATCAGACTCTTCCCCAAAGAGCTGACATTCACAGTCCGAATGCCAGGTGCTCAGGCCTAGATTGTCCAGCCCCTGCCTACCTGTTTATCTCTATGCTTGCACAGGGGAAGGTAGGTCCCAATAGGACAGGGACCTTCCCCAGAGGGCAACCTCTGGCAAGTTCAGTGGCATTGCCCTGACCTGGTACTGTTATTGTGGGGTGGGGACCAGGTTGGCGGGGGAGCTGCCTCCTCACTGACTCTGGGCTCTTCACTTGTGATTTTCTCCAATAGGACCCTTTCTTGGTGTCACATCATAAGAATTGACCTCTACCCACCCTGTACACTTTGCAGATGGGGAAGGGAAATAGGTGAAGCCATATCAATTCTGATGCTCTAAGCCAGGGGTCCCCAACCCCCGGGCCGCAGACCAGTACCGGTCCATGGTCTGTTAGGAACCAGACCACACTGCAGGAGGTGAGCAGTGGGTGAGCCAGCTAAGTTTCATCTGTTTTTGTAGCTGCTCACCAGCACTAGCATCACCGCCTCAGCTCCACCTCAAATCATCAGACATTAGATGGTCATAGGAGCACCTGTCCCTGATGCCAAAAAGGTTGGGGACCACTGCTCTAACTCATAGGTAACAGAGAACCTAACTGCAGTCACTGACCAGAAGCTTCCCATTTCCCATGTAGCAGCCCCTGGGTAGATAATTGTGGGGTTAGCTAATTCATCATCACAGGAAGATCAGGATGCTGCTCTCCATAATGCTCTTGAATTCCCCCTGGGTGGCAGTAGCACACCATCCTTGTCTTTATAAAGAAAAGACGGAGGAGAAAGGACCATTTGGTGGTGTTTTCTCACACCACACTTACTGCTGGCATCTGGGGCCAACCGTTTGCTGGGGAAGGAGCTGCACTGTAGGTCGCTGAGCATCATCCCCGGCTTCTACCCGTTAGATGCCAGTAGTGACAACTGAAACTGACTCCGGATATTGCCAGATGTTACTTGCGAGACACAGTCCCCCCGCAACCCCACTCTATCCCACCCCGCCTGAGAATTCCTACTCCACGTTAAGCAGGGAACCTCCCCTAGAAGCTTTCTCTGCACACCACTGGACAGATTGGTTCACAGCAATCCAAAATCAGCATGCAGGGCTGTGGGGAGCCACAGCCAGAACCGCTGCACAATGTCAGGGGTTAAAAACCAAGTGTACTTAAGGAGGTTGTCTGGGAGGCAACTGTTCACATAGCAATCACTGCAAATTCTTTGCTACAGTTTAGCAGAGAGTTCTGAGTTGTGAGAACTTCATTGTTTTGCAGGATAAGTAATTTGGCTGACCTTGGGTCTTGACTGCTGTTTTCTCATTGCGATGCTATAAGTAGTGCGTTCTAAATAAACTCGGGGACACAGCTTGAATCTGTGCTCCCTCTTGCAATTCTGTCTGTCTTCTTTCTTTTCCTCAGTCCATGCTCCCCTTTCAGGTACCCTCAATTACTTTGTCGGCTGGCTTCCAACACAGGGCCAATGGTACCAGCCACTTCTTGATTCTTCCATAGGAGAGGCAGCTGCTTACTAGACACCCAAGAGTGTGGCTGCATTATCCATCACTCTCAAAACTTGGAAGCAACCAAGAAGCCCTTCAAGAAGTGAGTGGATAAGTAAACTGTTCTATTCAGACAATGCAATATTATTAAGCACTTAAAAGAAAGAATCTATGAAGCCATGAAAAGACATGGAGGAACTTTAGATGCATACAACTAAGTGAAAGAAGCTGATATGAAAAGCCACATACTGTGCAATTCCAACTCTAAGACATTCTGGAAAAAGCAAAACAGACTGCTTCTTGATCTGGAACCTATCTTTCCAAATTTCAGACACTGCGCTGTTCTCAGGAATCCAGATGGTGGCAGCAGAGACCAGCGTTTTTCTAGCCGCACCTCCCCCGCCCCCCCAAGTTCTAGAATAGAAATCATTACCTTGCTGGTTGCAGGGAGCATTTCTGCCCTGCACGGATCGCAGTGTTGGCGCACAGAAGGCCGTCGCAAAACTGTTCTGAATTTATCCACAGCAGTGAATGCAGCTAAGGAGAGAGGGAGGCTGCTGAGGACCAGCAGGTCAGATAAAGGAAGCTTCAGAATAAAATGGCTTCTGGGCAGTATTTGCATCCCATTGGTAACAATACCTCAACAGATCTTGGGTGAGTGGCTTCACTTAACAAGTTAAGAAAATCCAGGCACATCCACATGGTATGTGGCTGAACCCAATGGCTGAAACCCAGCATCTCTGTGTCACCCATCTGAGGCTGCTTCTCTCTCTGTCTGGGGGAAGAAACAGTCCCTACTTCACACAGTTAGTGTGAGGATCTGGTGAGATGGTATCTGTGAAGTGCCAGATACAGAGTAGGTGCACATCGAACCATATCTCCCTTCCCAGAGGCTCTCAAGATAGTGGCCACCTCGACACCCTCATTTGTATGTCCCCTCACTGGGGAGGGGAGGCGGAAACACTTCATACACTCTTGGTGTCTGTGGAGAGGCTTTCTCTGTCAGAATACAAATGCACACTCCCATTTGTGCAGCCCCTGAACGCCAGGATAAGAATGAAGACCTTTTTCTGTAGCCTTGTTATAGTTGCAGAAGGCAGAAAACCATTATCTGTGCATCAGACTGGGCCTAGGTAAGTAAAACGTTGTACCCACAGTGAAATGTTTGGAAAATATTAAAGGAAATAAGATGATGTATATGGTACTCTCTGGAACAATCTTGGATGGATATGGATAGATGATAGATAGGTAGCTAGACACACATATGTATAGATAGATAATAAATAGATACAAAAATAGATACAAAGACAGATAAATAAGTACAAGGATAGATATAAAGATAGACAAACATAGATACATAAATAGATACAAGGAGAGATACATAGATGATAGGAACAAATGCACAGATACACATGGCAGAACAGTACACATGATATGCTCCTATTTGATAGATTAATTTTAAAAGGCACTTGTATATTCACAGAGAATCTCAAAGAATAATGTAGGGGAAGGAATGAGAAATCTGGGAATCAGTATTAGTCTCAGTAAGCAGTCTTTTCCTCCAACTATTTCTTTAGAAAGTCTTTATTTGTGACCAAACCCATCAATTCCTGACCCAAATTCCCATGTCACAGCCCCCGTCCGTCGTAATGACTTTATCCATTGAAACAGTTCGTTTGCTTTGCCAGCTCATTGCCACATCCAGCCACAAGCACTCCATGAGTTGTAGGCCAACACGACCGTGGGTGTCTCTGATTCAGACTTGAAAGCTCTGCTACTTAGTGGCTGGGAGACTGGGGGAATACCCACCTCGTATAAGCCCATCTCCTTATCTGCGAAACAGGGATGATGCCTCCTCATGACATGGGTGGGAGCCTTAGAAGGTGATGCAGGGCTGACGCTGAACGCTGTCACCGAGACCTAGGAGTCAGGCTCTGTCCGCGGTGCTGAAAGGCCTGCGGGTGGTATGGGGAGGCCAGGACGGGGCGGGCAGACTGTTCGTCCAGGCGGGACAAGAGGCAAAGTGGGTGAGGCCAGAAACAATCCCTCCCACCCACAACCTCTTTGGAAAGTGAAAGGAAAAAGATGAGTGGATTCTCACACATAAACACACACACAAACAACAGACACATGCAGATGCAGACACATATGCACATACAAAACATACACACACAAAGATACCCAGTCATCCTCAGTATCTGTGGGAGACAGAATGGTTCCAGGACACACATACACCCCTCTGCAAATATCAAATCCGTGGGTGCTCCAGTCACTTATATAAAATGACATAGCATTTGCATATAACCTACATTTCCTACTCATTGCAATAGAGTGTATCCCAGAGTCAAAATCCTTGGTGTCCAGAATCAACTCTACCAGCTAAAAAGGAAACCCAAAATGGATTGGGTCTGCCCATCATAAAGACTCCCTGCTTCAGGATCCTGTTACTGAGAACAGTAGATATCCCTCTCCTTGGGTTTGGAATGTTTCTGACTTCAAAGGTGTCACACACACACACACCTCAGCCAACTGCCTTGTGCAATATGAAGCCCCAGTGTTGCCAGGACGTCTGATTGTTCCAAAAAAAGCCAAAAATCCGCCTTTTTTAATGCAACATCTTCCAATTTAAAATTCTGGTTCAAGATCATGAAAGTATTACCGATGTGGGCTTCCAAAACCTTAATTGTGTGTGTTTTTTTCAGCTTTATTAGAAGCATAATGAATAAAATCGTAAGATGTTTAAAGTGCCCCTTGGGTTGATTTGACATATAGATACACTAAAAGGGTTCCCTCCACCTAGTTATTCAGCACATCTATCACCTTGTGTATTTCATGTTTGTTTCCACTGAGAACTCTCTCGAGTGAATGCTAGAGAGAACTGGACACTGGGCCCTTAGGCCAAAATGGGCCACAGATATGTTTAGATTGGTTCACTAGGGGTTTTATAAAACAGCTGTATGGACTGAGAACCAGGCCCTTAGATGCCTGGGTTGGCCCTCGAAATGGTCACATAGGACAAGCAAGATCCGTGCACAGAGGAGAAACCCAAGGGTCAGAAAGGATAGTGCACTCACCCAGGGTCACACAGCCTGTACACGGCAGTGGAAAGTGGCCCTGAACTTTTCTTGCCCGGATGTCAGCTCCTGCCACCGCCTCCTGGTAGGAAAGGATGAGGCAGGTGTGACAGCTGACTCTCGCTGTCCCATCCCCCAGCTCCAATCTCAGCTGGCACAGGAAACACAGCTGCTATTTCTGAGTGACAGGCATGTCCTGCCACCTGAGCTCCCACAGCCCCTCTCTCCTTCCCCTACAAGCACCCCAAGTTCTGTGGGGGACAGAAGGGCCCCCACAAACACTGGGCAATGTTGTCCCCTTCCTTGAGTCCCAGTGCCCTCTCTGGAAACACATTGCACCCCTCCCTTCTTTAAAGTGACTTGGGATCTCAAAATAAACTGAACTGCACTCACCAATTTCCAAGCAAGGTGATGGTCACTGGAGAACATGCCTTTCTGACCTACGACCTATAGTTATATCCTCTGAGCCCCACTCCCACCGCCTGCCAGGTGGCCACCAGACCTTGGTTTTGAGCCTCTCCAGAGGAGGAGGTGGGGCATGGCCTGCAAGAACACAGAGTGCCAGGTGGCAGATTCAAGGCTCAACTTCAGCACTTTCTCTGTCAACCCCTCCTTTGGAAGTGATGGGAACGTGGCGCCCCTCCTCCAGGCCCCTTCTGCACAACCCTAGCCAAGCAGCTAGGCTGAAAGTACCCCTTGGCAGGGCTCTCTCATTCATAGGACATCCCAAACAACCAGGGATATGGGTCCCCAGGACTCTGGCTGTGGGTCCCAGGAAACTGGGATTGGCATCGGAGGGCCCCACCCTGATGAACGTACTAGCAGTCTTCACCTGGCAGGACGCTGTGATGGCTGCATGGAACCATGTGGACATGAGCAGTGCCTGGCACACAGGAGGCCACTGGTCAGAGCCAGTACCCTCATGCTCTTCCTCCACCCCCACTGACTCCCACAGTTGGACCTGTGCAGCAGAGACAGCCGACTACCCACTGGTCCCTCTTTCTCCTTCCACAGTGCAGCTTTGTCACTGAGAAGTAGCAGCCAGGGTCACTTCCAGCCTCCTCTGCAGGGAAATGTGACCCCCTCCACTGTCCCCCATTGCCAGGGGGATGTGAGAAGAGATAGGTGCATTTCTAGGCTAAGTCTTTCAAAAGCTGGATGCAGGGAGGGGCCTCAGGGCTGGTGGAGTAAAACCACCTGCCTCTGTCTCATAAGCAGGTAAGGCCTGTTATTCAGACTGTGGGAGTCCTTCAAAAAGCAGCAATACACAGCCTCACTTCCTAAGCCTGGACACGTGAGGACCACCCCTCTGCAGCCCAGAACCCACTGCAGGTGACCTGATTGGGTCACTATTCCAGAACAGCCCAGTCTGCACCCAGGCTGGACATGGACCTGTCAGCTGACTGCCTGCTCCTGGTCGGTGTCCCCCACACAGCCACTGCCTGGTGGGTACCCCTCCACTTAGCTTCTCCCTCCTCAAGAACCACGCACCACAGGGACAATCTTAGTGCCATTTATTGGCCCCCCGCACCTCTCTACCGCCACACCCAGGCCACGGAATAGAGACGACCTCGATCTCCCAGGTGCGCACTTGGAACCAGGGCTGGTTCTGCAACCGCACTCCTGCGCCTCCAGACCCAGGGCAGGTAGGAAGAGCTCAGGCAAGAAAAAAGGATGGGACCCACGGGAAGGGAAAAAATAACGGTGGGCAGGGTCAGGTGGGCACGATTAAAATTAAATTCTAAAAGGGAAAAGGACACCCCGCTCTCTTCCTTCTCTGGGCACCCCCTAACCGGAAGGGCCCGACTGCTTCCCAGTCCTCGCCACCTCCAACGGTGGAGAAAGAGAAAGCGGGGACGTTCTTTCGCTCGTGGGTTCAGCTGTCTCTTGGTCTCCAGTTCGCATCGTCTATCTCGGGCTCGGCTGAAAACCGAGAAGGGGTAGGCCGGGCAGAGGGGCAGGGTGCGGGAAGGGCTGGAGGCAAGGTGAGCACCCCCAGCGCCCTTCCCCGAGGCAGCCGCACCGCGCGGACCTGTGGCCGCGAGGGAGGT